TCTGCACTTCGAGGTTCACAAAGTGCTGCGCCTGTCACGAAGTCTGCACTTCGAGGTTCACATGTCCAAAAGTCACGATTCACTGCACCTGTCACAAAATCAATGTCACGAAAAGTTGGCTTTGGACCACCAAAGCACGAGGTTTCCCCTGCCCCTGCCACGAAAAGTGATCACCATGTCCGAAAATGCGCACGGCACCACAACGAGAGCGCAGTCGCGACAAGCACCCGCCGCGGGCCCGCAGATTCTGCGAGCCTGCGCAGTCGAAATGCACTTCGAGGATTTCGAGAGGCATGAATGCACTGTAAATAGCAACGAATTAGCCAGACGCCCCGGTGTGACACCTCCGATTAAACACCGGCCCTTTACACCTACCGTAAGAACCCCTAGTATGTCCACACTGTTTGGGGAAATATCTTACTTTGGAACAAGGACTTGTCAGGGCTTCCCTCACTTGAGGAATAAAACTCTAATTTCCACCTTTGTCTTACAAACCCTTCACCCTCCCGCCCCTCCCAAAAGCGCTCTTTTCTTCCTCATGTGTGTGTATATATATATAGTTATAGAATGTTATATGTTGTTCCTGGGTTCCGAATCTGAATCGGATCTGTGGAGGCCCGTCCTCTGGAAGCCAAGGATGAGGTCCATCCCAAGAGATTTCGATGCATTCCTCGCTGACTCTGCAGCTCCAAGGCCCCACCACAGGCGGAGTTCCCTGCCAGAGTTCCCTCAGATGAACCAGCAGCCCTTCTTCCAGCTGTCGAGTAAACCTGAGTTTGTCGCCGCTTTCAACGAATGGGGCCCAAAAAAAGAAGTAAATAAATGGCCGCTATGGCCGACACAAGTAACACCATATCTGCACATGCAACTCCAAAAAAGATCATGTCCGGGAAGCTCGTGGCTGAACTCCAACCTGCACACGACCAACCTTCTCCCCGCGTCGTCCGACATGACGTCGGGTTGCAGGTTGGTCGGTTTTTGGCCCCTCCCCCCCCCCGGGCCCCCCCCCCCCCCACCCTCTCTCAATTTTGGCTCACTTTTGAGCCCAGAATGGCGGAACACACACATCGACATCGGAGAAGCCTCCACAGATTCTGACTCTTGGCACTCTTGGCCGTCGACAACGTCCAGAGACACCATGAGACAAATACCAAACAATACAAACTACATGAAACTGTACCAACCTCCTCAACGTCTGAGAGCTCGGCGTTCCGCTTTTTCCCATCCATCTTCCGGGCCTGTTTTTCTTTTTTTTCTCGGCCTCGGAAGGAGGGAAGCGACCGGTGTTTTCATGAATGGTCTAGAGGCTCCACGAGCTACGAGCATAGCGATGGCCTCCTGGCTTCTCGTAGCGACGGCCGCTACCGAAGAACCCTAAACCCATCTAAACCGTAAACCCACATCTCTTCCCTCCTTTTGTTCTCCCTCTTCCTGTGCGCTTTCCTTTTTCCTCTGGGATATCATTCGACAGCTGACCGCAAAAGATCTGTTGTACAGCAAAAATAGCACATGCACTGCAGCCTATGCCTCTTCAGGTAGGCCAGCTTTGAGTCTATTCACCACACGGACCAAGCCCTCCAAACCTTCTCTGAGCTGGTCCTCGTCAATGTCCATCGGAGGGCTGATCCTGAAGCAAAAACGACGTCCCCACGGCCACCCGGTGGACGCCCAACGTGGCGATCTTCGCAGAAGAGTTGGAAGGAACAAAGGCAACACCTTGACGCTCACTGTGCGAACGAGGAACATTAATCCCAAACTGGGAGATTCCACAATGTAGGGCCAAACACCCTCCTTGTGACATGCAGCCTTCAGATCTGTTGCGGCCACGGTCTTGGCAAATTCGCCGCCCCACAAGAGGCCCTGCCCATAGAGTCGAAAGAACTTGCCATCAGCCACTGGTCCCAAAAGATCTCTCACCATCTGGCCCGATCGATTGGCTCGATCAAACCAGCCCGGCAACTCCCGAAGGATCTCCGTAGCAGTCAAATAGGCCAGTGCGGATGAGCCAGCATATGTGTGGCTTTGCTGGATCTTAATTCCAGCTTCCCACATCGCTTTGGAACCATGCCGCACAATGACACCAGACAGTGGAAATGTGCCTGGCATGACAAGTTAGTGGAGTGTTTTTCAAGCTGACCCACCGAGTCTTTAGAGTCTTGCTCGCGTGAAAAACCGTTCTGAGCCTGAGTCACCCAAGGCCGCGGTGTTCACTTCCGCGTCTTCCCCCCCTGTCTTCCCCCGTCTTCCCCTGGCAGGTCGCACCGGTCGGGACCGACGGCTCACCGCCGACGCTCGTCCCGCGCCTGAGGCGAGCGACTTGCCAAAGGTCACGGCATCGGGCTCCAAGGCCCAAGCCTGGCTGAGGAACAAGGTGCCTTCACCATGACGGCCTGGAACTGTCCAACGACGTTGCCCGGACCAGACCGGTGAGGGGGGGGGGTTTGGCCCATCAGACGACCGGACCAGTCACAGCTTGAGGGAGGACATGGAGCGAGAAGAAAGAACACCCCCAAAGGAGGAACGCGTGGGCTTGACTTACTTGGATTTACTTTGATGACCCTTCACATGTTTAAAGCCATGTGCACGACAACGCAAATGCGCGTGCAAGAATGGTCAACAACCATGCGACCATTAGATTCAATTGTATATATATATATATATGCACACATTTAGCTTTATTTGGAGCTGATGATTTTGCTGGCAGGCTGAGATGGACCGACAACATCGCATCGTTTTTGGGGCCTGTGGACGCTAGCTATGGGCTATGCGGACTACAAGGGGCAACAAAAGTGATGGGCCCGCAACTGTGCCAAAGGGCTGCTCGCCTAGGCCGCACATGACTTCATCGCAAAGCACGTAAGCACCAGATCTCTGACATCTAGCAATCACCTCCTTCAGCAATTGTGGTGGCCAAGCTCTCGCCAGGCGACTGGACCCCCACTGTGGCTCAAAAACAAATATGCCAATATCAGGATGTTCTGCAAGGAAGGCATCAAACTTTCGCAGATATTCCTCACATTCTTTCTCCCCACTGAGGGGAGGCAACGGATATGAGACCTGCCCAGTCGTTCTCGGCGCATTGGGCCATAAGGGCTTAGCTGGCTGCCCCAGTGCCATTGTTGGGGTTCCATGGTAGGACCTCTCAGCCACGCCCACGCGGCATACATCAAGACTTCTCGAAGCTGAGCACTTTGGGTGTGGAGCCATCTGCCTCAAGTGCCCCAATGCCTCCAGGGCGGGCGGGTGGTATGAGCTGAAGAGGCATTCAATGTGCCGGGTCTGTGGGGTGATCTGCAAAAAAGCTGATCCGGGGTGCACTACCAATGCTACATTACTTCGACCCTTTGAACATCTGGGGTCTCACTGGCCAACTGTAGCTTTCGAACTCGATGCCCATTGACTCGTTGATGCTTGAAATCTGCTTCATGAACCGAACCTCAACTCCTGCCCATACTGCAGTAGCTCCTTCCTGCTGAACATTTACAAACCAATCGCTTCCAGTCCATGGAAGGTTCTTCTCCAGGCACTCCACGAAACCCGTGAGTGCGCCAGGGAAGCCTGGCGGGGCAGGCGAGGAACTGACTCTCCCCTTCTCAAAAAGAACTGTTTTGCTCTCGTCTGCTGTCGTACTTTGATCTCAAACCAACCATAAAAACAGCTGAAGGTCTCGCCTGCGCTGGTATGGATGCTCAGTGGCTCCCAACTCTCGCCCCTCTCCATCTTTTCAATGGCCAAACGTTGATGCTCCAAGGCTGGCCGAAGCACTTTGGCCAAGCGCGGCCCGGTGAAGACTTCCGAACACGCCGCGCCTGGCGTGTTACCGGCGGCTCGACTGAAAGCTGGAAAATGCCAGTAGATCCGGGGTGACGAGACTACCAAACGGTGACCATGCGATGGCCTCCAACCTACTAGCGATGGCCTCCAACCTAAGAGCGATGGCCTCCAACTTACTAGCAGCCGGCAAACCGATTCCCCGCCTAGGAGAAAGGTCTCCTCAATCTCCCCGCGGTAGACACGGCGCAGCTTTGCACCTCGCCTCTCTACCACGATGCCAGGACCTTCATCGGAAGCAACCTGACTGAAGCGCTAAGAGGCCGCGGGAACGGGGGCGTCAGCCACGACCGTCTTACGCAACTGAATGCCACGACCGTCTTGAATGGATTTCTTGTGAAAGAATGTGTGGTATACGGTGTGTGGAGCACGGTGCCCATGTGAAGGATGACATGCACTCAAAATAAGATGCGTACAAGTGCCCCTGTGGCATCAAGGAGAAGTTCGCATGGGGGCGTGCGTAAACACCGATACGCAAGGAAAGCCTTTTGGTACTAGGCCTTTGAATTCGGGAGCCGCAGGTGCAATGATGGCTGGAGAGCCGTTCGAGCGAAGTGAGAACCTTGAGAACAACTACTGCAGATGCATCAGCAGTTCCAGCAGTTGAAAGGACCCTGCAGTAGATGGGGTTACAGGTTGGTCGAAGCTTTGGGCCCAAACCGAGGATGCTTTAAAGCACCAGAACAGGGGGGATGAAATCAAAGGCTTTGAAACATGGTCTTGGGATGTCTTGGGTGTTGGAGCGGTATCTCGTTTCCAACTATGAGAACTGCCTGAAGGACCTCATTCGGGCAAAAAGCACCCAATGAGGAAAGCACCAAATGACACCTCTTTGCTCCCTGAGATGGACTTACCCTGAAGAGAAGACAATGTCAAGCTGAATGGTCCTTTGACTAGCCTCCTGAGAGGCAAAGTCTTGGTTGGCGATAGCGGGTCCTTTTGGCAAGAATAGGTGGCAGGGCCAAGGAAAAGGAATTCAAAGAAGGTAAGGAAGGGTTTTTCTCAGAAGGGCAACGGAAGGAGCCAAAGGCAGAAGGGAAAGGGTGTGATTCCACATCTATCATCTATCTCGCAATTGCTGGTGCCTTCGAGATACGGAGGAATGAGTCTTGGCGACTTCAGTGGATGAGGTCATGAGGGAAAGAAGGAGAGAACAACTTTGATCGACGAGCGCATGTAAACAGATTGCCATGCACATGAAAGCCGCTGGACCTACTAGGGCCAACCTGGCCCTCACAGCCTCGAGATGTGAGGAGAACACCTGGATGCACAACCTTGAGGTACAAGATTCTCCAGGATTAACTAAGGGACGTGAGAAAAACACTCAACAGGTGAACCAGCCTATGGCAGGCTATGGCGTTCCACCGGCTCACACCGGACGACCGGTCCAGTCGACTGGTCAGGTCCGGAGGCGAGGTCAGGTGAAACGGAGCAGGTGGATGAGCCCGGATGAGAATGAGGCCATTTTGGATGAACGGCGAAGGCATACAACCAACCACAAGCTCCAAATGCCAAGACTGAGAGAAAGGAGGCCGAGGAAGTGAAACATTCAGCTAGATCGCAATGGGAGGTGAGTTGAGCTTATTGTGGCCGCATGGAGGGCAGTCTGTGCTACCGGTCTCCACGAGACTGTTGAAACATAACACTTGTCCAAGACGCGCACGTGTTGATGAGTGCAACGCCGCCAAAAGAACCGAGAGGTGAGTCAGTAGCTCAATTTCCAAATGAAGCAACACAGGCACGTCATAGACACACGTTTACGCACCTTCCTTACCAAAGTTGTTGCAATGAATGCATTCAGCACAAAACAACACCACAGAGGCACGAGAGAAATGATGGAGCGGAGCTTGTTCGCCAAACAACTACATCCATGACGTGCCTCTTCGAAGCAAAGGTCAGAGCAAGTTGAAGACCTTGGACTATCCTTCAGTGAGGTACAGGAGTGACAAAAAGTCATTGCCAGGCTGCCAGACAGAGCTTGGGATAGCTGGTGACAGGCTCAACCCAACCGAGAGTGGGAAGAAGCTCTAGAGCCCTTCAGAGAATGCCGTCGACAGAGTGGGGATTGCTCTGGTTCCGCAGGTTCCGCTCGTTCCGAGCCTCAGGCTGCACCACGCTGCTCCATGCTGAGCTGGAGCTGGGCTGGAAGTCATGCAGGGGCGGTCAATCGGTTTCCAATACATGAAATTTTAGGCATCTGAGCTGGGCAAGAACTGCAAGGGTATGCGATATATATATATATATACATACGAAGTGGACACTTCTGAGAGGCTTGAGGAGGCATCTTCGCATTTCCGTGAAGAACGTTGAGTCTCAGGGATACCAATATCCTGACAAACGAAGCACGGACTGTCTTAAGCAAGTGCATTGGACCGACCCGGACTGGGCTTGGCGCACCTTGCAAGCTTCAATGCAGGGACCGGGGAGTAT